CATATGTATAGATATATGATAACATAAATGGTTTCAAAGAAGATATCAACAGTTAATTGGTAGTATTTGAACATGATGAAAATGAAACATAACATATAGCAATGTGTGGGACGCAGCTAAAGATAAAAGAAAATTTACACTCAAATCCATTAGTTAAGAAAAACTTCAGAAACAATTATTTCAGTTTCCACTTTAAACTGGAAAAAGAGCAAGACAAAAGTAAGCAGAAGAAAGGAAATAATAAAGATCAGAATAAAATCAGCGAAATAGAAAACAGTAAACCAAGAGTGAAAGTCAATGAAACTGTAAATTGGTTCTTTGAGAAGAGCAATAAAGTTGATCAAACTCTATAGCTAGACAATCAGAAAAAAAAAGAGAAGATACAAGTTACCAATTTCAGAAGTGACAGGGAATATCACTAGAGTCTACAGATAAAAGAAAACATTATTAACAACTTTATTCCAATAAATTTGACAACTTTGGCAAAACAGACTCAATTCTTTGAAAGACACAAACTGAGTACATTCAACAAGAAGTAGAAAACCTGAGTAGTCTTATGTCTATTAAATAAATTGAATTTGTAGTTAAAAACTCCAATCCATATGGCTTCACTGCTGATTTTCAGCAAACATTTAGGAAAGAAAGAATACCAATTCTGCATAAACCCTTGTAGAAAATTGAGGAGAAAACAACTACACAGCTTACACTATTAAGGCCAGGACTATCCTGACCCCAAAGTCAGACAAAGTCATTATAAGAAAAACAAATAAACAAAGCTAGAAAGTACCCCCATAAACAGATATCTAGAAATTTTCTCGAAAATTCTTGCAAAATAAATCTACTATACAAAAGGGATTATGACCAACTGGGATTTATCCCAGGAATTCAAAGATACTTTAACATATAAAAATTAAGCATAATTCGTAACAACAAACTGAAAAAGAGACTAAAAATGTAAAATCTATGATAACAATACTCTCAATAGATGCAGAGATTTGACAAAATCTAACATCCATTTCTCATAAACAAAATTCTCCGGAAATTAAAAATAGAAGGAAACATCCTCAATTTGGTAAAGGCATCTATGAAAAACCTATAGCTAACATAATCAATGTTTTCTCTCCAAGACTGAGAAAAACACAGTATTTGCTTTTACAAATTCTATTCAATATTTATTTGAGGTTCTAATCAGTTCAAGAAGGTAGGATAAATAAATTAAAAATATCCAGGATAGAAAGGAAGAAGTAAAACTGATTTTCAAAGACATGATCATACATGTAAAAAATCCTATGGCATCTACAAAAAGTTACTAGAACTAATAAGTGAATTTAGAAGGCTGTAGAATAAAAGATTAATACACAAAAACCTATTATATGCCAGCAACAAACAACTGGAAATTGATATTTAAAAAAGTCCTATTTACAACATGAATCCTTAGGGATAAAACTGACAAAAGATATGCAAGATCTGTAAACTGAAAACTA